GCCCTGGGATGCTTGCTGGGGGAGGTCCTCCTCTGGCCCTGGGATGCAAAGCCTCATGCTTTCTCTCATCTACTATTCTCCTAGAAGCTTTGGGAAAGGCTTCCTTGGGGGACAATTCTTAGCATGTCACATAGAGAAAACAGAGATGCTTGGTAAATGGTGATGCCATGCAATACCTGGTTTGAGCATGTGTTCAGTGTGGGGAGCAGGTTGAGGTTGGGAAGAGAGGAGAGTGTGAAGTCAGGGGCCATACCATTGCCTCTGGAGCAATCTCTTCCTCAGCCAGACCTGATTCCATGCATCCTGGCCAGGAAACCAGACTCAGAGCTGAGAGTCCAGTGCCGTTTCTTACAGCCATGACCTTGGGCAAATTACTCAACTCCAAGATGCTCCTGTTTCTTCATCTGTAGTAGATCAGCTCATGAGGCTATGGTGAAGAATTAGCATGCTCCCCTAGAGTCCACAGATACTCCAGGACAAGCCTTGTATTTGTCTTCATATAGTGTTCACGAAGGTGCCAGTTCCCAGGTCAGGGACAGAAACCCACAAAGCTCCCTTGGCTAAGCCAGGCAACTGCAACAGAGTGTCCAGAACAGGGATATTTTCTAACCTGTCTATCTAGAGAAGCCCTGCTGTAGTTTGGATGCTAAATGTCCCCAACAGACCATGTATTGAAAGTTTGGATCCAAGATGGCCCTATAGGAAGGTGGTGGAACATTTGGGAAATAAGGCTTGGTGGGAGGTCTTTAGGTTATTGGGAGCATGTCCTTAAAACTTTCCTTCCTCTCTTTCACTCCTTGGCCCTAAAATGAGGGACTATTTGCCTCACAACATGCTCCTTCGTGAGTACCACCTCACCCAAAGCAACACAGTTATGGATGAGAAACTGATCAGAAGAAAACCTCTGAAACTGATCAGAGGAAAACCCTTTTTCTTTGTAAGCTGCTTGGCTATGCTGCTTGCTACAGCCAAGAAAAGCTGGCTCACACCGATGCCCTTTCTAAGTCCTAAGGAGACTTGCATTGGCGCAGACGTTGCTGGTTCTAGAGCCGCTGCAACTGAGGTGCCTGTAGCTACTGTGTCTTTCAGACAGTGAGACCCTCCTCCTCTTCATGCCCAACCCGTTCTCTGAAAAGGGGAAGATCGTGTCTGGTCACTGAGCCTAGGAAGGAAGTACACCCTCTTAGGTAAACAAGAGCTTGTATCCAGGCTACCAAAATCTCAGCCTCCCTGGGGCCCCACCCGATCCTCCAAGTCCCAATCTTTCCCTGCAAATCACACCCTCACATCTTCACATGGCTCCCTCCTGCAGTTCTTGAGGACTTTTGACTCTCTCCCTAGCGGAGGACCCATATTTGAACCGCTCAAAGTGACATTTTGACATTCATACCTAACACAGAGCCCTTGAGTTCTGTCAGAATGCATGCCCACTCAGGGTCCTGCCCACCCCGTCACTGAAAGCCCCTTCCCATTTTAATTGTTTCGTTCCCCTAAATTTAGATGTAATTCATGTCCAAGAGATGGTGGCTGGATTCCATCTGCTGGCCTGGAATTATTAGTATGACTTTTTGGCAGTGTGACAGTAATGTTTCGACAATCTATACGTATTGATTTAGGTCGATAATAAACAATTTGATTAGCCTCCCCATCCGTGGGCTGTCATTTCAATCACTGGCAGGGCCCAGCAGACTGGAAGGGGTGCCGCACGCACAAGTGGCAAGAATTCTCAAAATAAGAAACTCGGGGCTGATTAGAGGCCTGGCTTCAGTGAATTGGACAAGACAGCTCGGCTGCCACGTTATTAACTCCCTGAGAAAATCCCAGTCGTCCCCGGGGCCAGCCGCATATTCTGATGGGGATCGATAAGCAATCTCCGGTGTATATGGAATTCAGACTCGAATCATTTGTCTCTGGCTCCTTTCTCCAAAGGGAGCACTGTGGTCCAGACCTGGCACCCTGCCCCACCCCCACCCCTTTTAACTAATGACCCGCCGCAGAGGAGGCTGGCGGATGGCGAGGACCTCTTCCATCATCCTGTGCACTTTCTCAGGTGGGCTAATGATGATAATGGCCGTCTTGCAATTTTTTTTTTTTAAATGCTGCCTGCCCCAGTGTCTTGGAAGTGAGTTTGTGTAAGTGATGGGCATGCCCCTCGCAGACAGAGAGACACATGTTCTGGTAATGGGCACCCCTCTTCTTTTCAGCGTCCACACTATTGATGAGGCTGTAGCAGCAAGAGCATGGCTTCTGGTGAGCCTCCCATACAAGACAGATGGCAACGCCCCCAAGTGGAAGACCCCGGGACTGTGGCTGGTTCAGGAAGGCTCCGTGAGTCCCCGTGAGTTGGAGTCTTGGGCCTTTGGTCTCTAATTGGTGGCGTTTCCTTAAAGACCATTGGATCCTTGCCCTTTGGTGCCAGATGGTCTCTGGAGGACATCGAGAGTGGCTGCCACCTGCACAGAACCACAGTGTTTGCTCCCTTCTTGCAGCGTCTCTGGCCTTGACCTGCTCAACATAGAGGGGCAGTATGAACATATGGTTAGGACAGGCCACCCTAAGTGTGGCCTCTGGTCTTGTCCTTCATTTTCTTGGACTTAAGTTTCACCACACGAGACATCCCTCTCGCCTGTCTGTGATGAGCATGGAATAAAAATGCAGGCTGGGGGCCGAGCTCAGCGCTGCTGGCGTGTCAGATTCTTGGCAAATATTTTTTAATACTGATATAGTCCAGTACCATGAGCTAAAAAGCCACTACTTTGATTAGACCCTCCTTCCAAAGTATGGGGTCTGAGTAGGGCTGGAGAATAGCTCAGCAGTTCCTAACCTGTAAAAAAGCAATAAGAGTTCCAATGTATGACAGGGATAAGTGCAGTTCTGCCTTGGCATGAGGGTGGGCACCTGGCCACTTGACCACACCTGCTCCTACTTCTTCTCAACTCTGAGGGCCCCTAGGGTTGTCTGAGCCAATGAAGAAGCTGCTGGGGCAGTGGGAGAGTAACAATGTTCGGACTTTGCTCCTGGAACGGTAGGGGCCTCTTCCTTTCTAAAGGCCTCAGTTTCCCCAGCTGTGGCCATCTCAGCTCTCAGATTGTCTGCAAAGTAGAAATCCCTATGGATTGTGAAGTTGCCAAAAAACTGAACGTCATCCCGACACCACCAGCACGGTCTCCACACTCCTTTGCACAGAAGAGCTAGCTCCCTCGCTGCTCAAGCAGAAGAGACCAGAGGCCCTGAGCCCCGAGCCGGTGAGGCAGCTGACATCTCACCCAAAGGATCCATGTCTTAGGGGGAAGAAAAGCAAAACAGTGACTGTGATGACTCGATTTGGCTGTGAGAAACAATGGCCTAAAATAACAAGATTTCAACACTCGCAGCCTTTATCTCTCTTCCACATAAAAGCCGGGAAGTTGGCCAGCCAGGCCTGGTGTGGCTGCATAGCTGTGTAAAGTCCTCAGGGACCCAGTTTCCTCCCAGCTCATGACTCCCCATCCTTAGGGTCACGGGGGTAGCTTTGTCATCGCTTTCCAACATGGTAGCCAATGGGTCAACAGTCCAGAAAGTAACATAGAGGAAGTGACAAGAGATTGGGACAGGGGTACAAGCCAATTCTCATCTTCCTTTAAAAAAATTATTTTAAAATAGTTTTGGATGTACAGATAGAAAAATTATAAAGATAGTACAGAGAGTTGCCATAGCACCCACAGCCCAGTTTCCCCTTTTATTAACGTCTTATCGTATAATACCGTCAACTAAGGCCCACGCTTCGTTAGATTTCGTCATTAGATCATTTTCCTGCTCCAAGATCTTACCAGATGCTTGGCAGAAGTGCTGGACAGGTGTTCTGCAGAATGTCCCTCCACTGGAATATGTCTGATGTTCTGATCATGAATGGACTGGGATTGTGGGCTGTGGGGAGAAGGCTAGAGAGACACACTGTCATTCTCTCTCTTAGCGGCTTCCTGTTTTAGATGATTATGCATAGAACTGCTATAGTACTTCTTGGACATTTTATGTGATATTGCAAACCTCTTAAAAAGATTCTGTCAGACACTTGCACACCTCTGCCTCATGAGCTACATTTAGCTGGTCACACTTAGCTGCAAGGGAATCTGAGTAATATGGGCTTTGTTTTTGTACTGTGCTACAATGTAACGATTTACTTGTGGCGGAAAAAGAGACATTGCAATAAACAGCAGTCTCCATTGAGGAAATGAGAAATGAATCCTGCTGAATACAAAGGAAAGAATACAGACACAATACAAAGAAAATAATCAGCTTTAAACGTTCAGTCCCTGCTACCAAGGGGCCCAAGAGAAAGTTGGTTAGCTGTCCTTGGTCTAGAAAACAGTCCTGTGCTAAGGAAAAGCTTAGTAATTCATTAATTCAGAAAAAAAATGGACCGACTATCTTGAGAAACAAAGTAAAGGCCATAGTCCCAATGAGGTGTATTTATAAAGCCTTCCTGCGGTGCCAGGTAGCAGATCTTCATGGAGAAATGGGCAGAAGCACCCCGCCTTCAGAGCTCCACCAGCACAAGAAGGACTGGCAACAACATGCTTGCTAGCGCAAAGAACACCATGAACATAGCAGCCTCCCAGATGCTCCTCAACACCAGGGAACCTTGCCAAGGAAGCCGGAGGAATTCTAGACCTAGGTTTCAGAAAGGTCGGGTGAGCAACCATCCCATGTATCAATACTAATAAACATGGTCAGTTTCCTTCAACTGGCCCTGTTGGGAAGTCTGAATGTTCTTCCTGGGGTCCAGTTACTACTAGAGAGTATAAAACTCCTAATACAAGGGGCTGGAAGTGGTGCGGGAGAATTATCTGTATTCTGTCAATCATATTTTAATAAAACGCTGATTGGCCAGGCAGGCAGTATAGGCAGGAAAGCCAGACAGGAAGTAGGGGTGGAGCAAAGAGACTGGGAGTATTCTGGAAGGAGAAGCTCTCTCTCAGCCATTCCTGTACAGACCACCGAAGAGGCAGCATGTAACTTGCCCAGAAGAGAAAGGTACGGAGCCATTATGGCTAACATAGATGAGAATAATGGGTTAATATAAGTTATAAGAGTTAACAAGAAGCCTGACCTAATGAGCCAATCAGTTTATAACTTTATGGAGTCTTGTGTGTGATTTTCTTTGTTGCTTGCCGGCTGTTGGGGTACTGGGAGGGACAGAAACCCCAACAAGCCAGCCCTCATACTACATGGAAGGATGGCTCAGTCGCTAAAGTGTTTACCCATACAAGAGTGAGGACCTGATTTCTGATCCCCAAACCTGTGTGAAAGCCCAGATGGAGCAGTGTACCCTGTCATTGCAGCACTAGGGGGTGGAGACCGGAAGATTGTGGAGTTTCTGATCAGCCAGTTGAGTCAAACCAGTGAGCGCCGGGGTCAGTGTGAGAACCCATCTCAAGGGACAGGTCACAGGGCAGGGCTTGGAGCGCTGACTGCACAGTCACAAAGACCAGATTTCGGATCCCAGAACTTCTCACAAGCCCAGGCATAGCATAAATGCTTGTAGCCAGCAAGGATTTGGGATCAAGTACCCTCTTCTGGCCTCTGCGTAGGCACCACCGCACATACACACACATGCACAGACATGCACACAGAAACGTACACACATAAATCGCTTTAAAAAGTTGAAATGTAAGGTGGATGGAAGCTGAGAAGCTGACTCCACACAAACCCAAAGACCTGACTTTGGGTCCGGCACATATCTGTACCCCCAGCACTGAGGGAGGAGCAGAATCAGGGGTTCCCCGGAGCTCCCTGGTCAGCCAGCCTAGTAAAAGTGATGAACTTCAGGTCCAGCGAGAGATTCTGACTCCCCAGAAAGGTGGAGGGTAATTGAGGAAGACACAGCATCCACCGACATGTGCACACCAACATGTGTGCCTGAGCATGAGCGCACACACACACATACACACACACACACACACGTGAACACACAACACAGCACACACAACATACATAAATGAGGCAAAAGGCGGTTGGGGAAGACACACAACATCAAATTCTGGTCTCCACATATAGTGCACACATGTACATGCATACCCACAGACACATGTACACATATGCAAACACAAGCACCACCACCACCACATGTTCCTGATATGACCCTGGTGCAGTAGCACATGTCTGCAATGCCAGCACCTGGGAGGATGAGGCAAAAGGCTAGGAAATCAAGGCTGTCCAGGACTACATAGCAGAATTCTGCCCCGACAAGCTACAGCAAAGACCCCTCCCCCACCACAACACACTATTAGTAAGATATTTCAAACTCTTCCTCTACTAAATGAAAATTCATTTTCTTTGCTTCCTTGTTGCCCATAGCTGCTGTTCACAAGGTAGGTAGTTACACACTATTTGCCTGTGCTCTCTAATTCAGAATTGTGTGCAAGGTTCAACTAGCAAGCAGATGTGAGCTCCTTGAGGGGCTGGCCTTGGCTTCCTTTGCTCAGTCCAGGATGTCCTGGCTTAATATGGGGCTGTGGTGGACAGCCAGCAAGTCCACTCTTCCCTCTTCTCTATCCATGTTGAGCACCAGCTGTTGAACCCATCAGCCCTTCAGCCTCCATCTGTGCAACGGAACCAACATCTTCCCAGATGTGTGCAAGCACCAACCCAACTGACCCAAACGCCTGCCCCAGAACTGGCCAGAGCACATGCCCAGATGGAATAAAAACAAAAACAGATGCCCCGCCCCCATGTCAAAGGCTGTGCGGATGCTTCTCTCTGGATTGGGACAGGCAGTTAACAAGAAAAGACTGGAGTTATGCTAATCCCCAATAATATCCTCAGAGGGTGTGGGGGAAGACGGGCTGCTGAGCCTTGAAATGCAGTCAGATCCGGTTTTTATCTCCTCAGCTACAGCTTTATTGTGGTGAAATACGTTCACATTAGCAGAGGGCAATCACCCTAAATAGACGACGGGAGAGGCGTGAGATGGCAGAGGGGATTTCGGAGCCCCCGCCTAGCCTCCCAGCTCCAGGCTGCCTGGGTTTCTGCCTTGCAGCTGCCTGTAGGTGGGACAGCGAGGAGCCGCTGATGGCTGATGTATATCCGCGCGGTTAGTCTGCATTAGATTCAATTTATCCCCCAGCACTCATTGTTGCTATTGATTGATTTTTAAATTAGATGAAGGCAATCAGTAAATACCACCCAATCAAGTTCTAAAAACATACAGGAGATTAGACAATTTAGGGTAATCAATGGAATATTCCTTGATTTGCTACCACTCAATTCAGACCATAAATTACAACTATAACTTGCAAGTTAGTAAGCTATAAAACAAGTAGATGTGACAAGAAAAACCATAAGAAATGAATTAAGGGGCTGGAGAAGCAGCAGTGGTGTTGTCCTGTTACGAGGCGGAATGACGCCTCCTTCATATTTTACATTTTCTGTTGGATCTTGTCACCAGTAACTGGTCAAAATAAGGAGGAAAGCGAGCAATGCATATTTTTTTTTTTTTTGTCCTTTAAAATAATCAAGGAGGCTGGCAAATCCAGGCAGTGGCAAGCGAGAGCCCTTCTCCTCTCAGAGCAAGGAGTGAACAATACCTGATTAACCTAATTCTGTGCTTGCAAATAAATGTCATATAATTTTAGGCTCAAAACCCCAAGGTTTGTTAAAACCCTCACCTACCTCACAGACACTTTCAAATGCTAATGTGAAAGTCACACTTCTGTACTGTTATTTCCTACAAAGCCTAAGATGTAACAATAATTAAATGTAATTTTAGACCAGAACTTCATACTCTTCAAATGCTATATTTGTCTGAATGTACAGTCTGCCCATCTTCCATATTTTCAAGGGAAGCACATTTCGGATGGTGGATTTCTTTCTTTCTCCACCCATCCCATAGGTGCAGGGCCTCAGGAAACCCAATCAGCTTTCACAGGCAGAGACCCCACAGCAGCCTCTCCCTCCCTCTCTCCCTCCCTCCCTCCCTCCCTGCCTTCCTTCCCTCCCTCCCTCCCCCCTCCCTCTCTCACTCCTTCCTCCCTCCCTCCCCCCTCCCTCTCTCACTCCTTCCTCCCT